CATGAAACTATACAAGAGATGTTTGAACTTCAGAATTTAAACACTGCCAAGACTGTAACTAATGGGTTTAATAATTAATCACATCTATTTCTGGTTCTGAAAGTTTAAATTGATTTTAATTATATGAAATACTATGACAATAATTAACTCAAGAAGGTACCACATTCTCTGTAAAATGGGTGGCTATGTAGTCAGTATATAACCAATTATTGTTCTTACAAATTTCTAATTACCAACAAAAATATTACTGTCTAAGGCAAGTAGTTACCATTGTTAGTTAAATAAACAACTGCCAGATCCAAACCGTATAAAAGAATGACAGGCTCCATAGGCTTATGCAGTTTAACTTTTGTTAGAATTCTAAATTTTGAGGGTCCTTCTATCCCAGGTCTGTGATTAGATTAGCAAGGTATACATCAGTGAGATAAAGTAATATGCAGTCACATATTGTTAATGTAGTTAATTCCATGAAAGAATTATGTGAAAGTAAATACATATATAAAAAAGTAAATAAATAACATAATATCCATAAAGTATGGCTAAATATTAAAATATGTCTATTTAAATTATTTTGGTTATGAAGTAGAGAAGTTGAGAGGACAAAATATCTTAATAAGTAAAATCTCATTTAGATATACTATTTCCTTTTATTCCTAATCTCAGAAAATATTGTATTTCTAACCTCAATCTCAATATTATTGTCAATATAAATTTACATAGTACCCTGTGGAATTCACTATTATGCAGATACTTTTAATATTTATTTATTTATTTATTTATTTATTAGTTTATGTAAGCTCTATGCCCTATGTGGTGCTTGAACTCATGACCCCAAGAACAAAAATTGCATGCTCTACTAAGCCAGCCAGGCACCTCTATTTCTAAATTTTTTTAAAGTAAGCTCTACACCCAACAAGGAGCTTGAACTCCCCACCATGAGATCAAGAGTCACATGCTCTACTGAGCCAGCCAGGGGCCCCTGCAGATACTTTTAAGAGCTATTTAAATACATATAATGTAGCTGATATGTGAACTCAGCTTTAACCCATACATTGCTCTAACTAACAGTTATGATTATGGAAATAAGGAGATAACTAAACAACTAAACTAGAATTAAGAAATAACAACATCATAATAAAAGTAGTGTACATTTAAAGCTGTCATCTTTTGCTACTTTGTGGAGGAAGGCATCCCTACAATTCATTCTAGAGAGACTTACAAGTCTCTGCTGGTACCTTGATAATTCTATGAAGGATTGAAGGATCACTTCAACATCCCAAAGATAAGAAAATAAAAAACAAGGCTTACTATGTGCTATTCAGCATATAAAAGATGTAAAAGAAATAATTTGATAAAATTGCAGACTTTTGTGTTCTATTTCTTTTTTAAGATTATCTAAAGTTTTTTTTAAAGATTATTTATTTATTTGACATAGATCACAAGTGGCAGAGAGGCAGGCAGAGAGAGAAAGGAGGAAGCAGGCTCCCCACTGAGCAGAGAGCTAATTCGGGGCTCGATCCCAGGACCCTGGGATCATGACTTGAGCCGAAGCAGAGGCTTTAACCCACTGAGCCACCCAGGTGCCCCTTTTGTGTTCTATTTGTAAATAAACCTTTGACAGCAGTCAATGCTTCGAGTGATTTCTAAGTAGTAACTAACACCTGCTTAGGAGAGGCAATCTAACTTAGTAATGAAGGCATATGATCTCTTGCCAGGGCCTTGGTTTCTAAACACCACTCTTCACTGAAAGGATCCAGCATTCCTTGGAGAAATCGCTGATTCCAAGGTATTTCAAGGCAGGGAAGATACAAGATGAATTTGGAACATCTAGTTGTTTCATCAATAAAGACGTGGTCAAAGAAGAAGCAGGGTGCGGGATGGTGAAGGGGTGTGGGGAATGTCGATAGGCTACAGGACCCAGCTCGGAGGGGCACCTATGGCTAAATCTGAGATAATGTGAGAATAAAAACAGATACGGACAATAACGGATTATAACTCATCAAATAAATTAGGAGTCTCTGAGTCCACGCTGATGATAGATAAAAAAGTGGAGGAGGAGGGAAGATCTTCCTTACAAAAGAACGCCAACTGATTAAATGTGGAGGGAAAGATAGAGTGGAAATACCACGTTTTTGAAGCCACATGGTAAAACTGGTTTGGTGTGGATCAACAATGGGTACTAAATCTAAGCTGGCGAGGAGGGTGATGAGAAGGATATTTGTATGATCTCCAGGCATCTTTCCAGAGATGCCTTGTTGAAGGGGGAAAAAGTAAGTAGTTATTAGAGAACTACAACATCTTGACTGGGTGATCAAAATCAATATTACCAGGGGCTTCTGGATGTGATTCCCTGAGGTCACAGGCCAGTGAATCTGGTCAGGGATACATTATCTGAATCTAATCACTACGAGACATGAGAAAAATCTGGAGTGTGGGCATTCCAGGTATATAGACAGGCACGAGCATAGGGCCAAAGGTGGGAAAGAACGTGTGTGTGTGATGTGTGTGTGTGTCTCTTGGGGGATATTTTTTGAGAATAAAGAGTAGTTTAGTTCACCTGGGGCGAAGTACAAATTAGATGAGGCAGGGGAGAGGGAAATAAAATTATACAGGTAAATTGGGACCATAATGTGGAGGATTTTCCACGTTGGTTGTGGATTCTGTATTTAAATTTAATAGAGAGTATAAAAATTGATTTTATTATATAATACTAAAGAAAGAGCATTAAAGAAAAGTGTTGACATACAATGAAATCAATACCCAAATATTTTTTAAGAAAGAGTTTTAACATGGTGCTAAATGTGAAAGGCTGTGTTCATTCTTCCATTCATGCCCTTGATTGAGCACTGACCGAGACCCAGCACAGGGCCAGGTTCTGGTACGGCTGGGCTCAATAAGGTGGACTTGCCCATGTGCTCTCTGCGCTTATAGTTCCAGAGCTTTTGCTTAGGTTACTTTTTATATCAAATGGTTTCTTGGTCCAGTGCCTAAGTGTTGCTGATTTTCTTCCTTGGATCCCCATTGTGAAAGGTGTATGTAGCACTGAAGTTCCTACTTCCTCGGTATGGTTATATAAATCAACCACTCAACAAGTATAGACTGGGTGTGCTTCTCCTTGTGCAGAAGCTGTGATATGAATGTATAGTCTGTCTCAGTCTGATGAGTTTATATCCAAATGGGGAGACAAGAAAGGTAAGAGTTGCATTTAAAATAATTACAAATCAAGGTAAGGCAGTGAATACAAATGCATCTAGCATTAAATTATAACTGGAATGCACTAAGAAGAGGAAGAGAAGAAAGTAGGCATTAATGGTCTGGAAAGGCCTAATGAAGAGCTAGGGTGTGAACTGAGAAGGGCGCAGAGGGGTGGAAACAGCACTGCCACAGGGGCTGAGAATGAACCTTTAGTGGACGGCGCTGCAAAGTGGCAGACAGGATTCAGCAGGGAGCTGGGCACACTTAAACAGTCTGATCTATGGAAACTTCTCTGACTTTTTTTTTTTTTTTAAGATTTTATTTATTTATTTGACAGACAGAGATCACAGGTAGGCAGAGAGGCCGGCAGAGAGAGAGAGGAGGAAGCAGGCTCCCCACTGAGCAGAGAGCCCGATGTGGGGCTCGATCCCAGGACTCTGAGATCATGACCTGAGCTGAAGGCAGAGGCTTTAACCCACTGAGCCACCCAGGTGCCCCAACTTCTCTGACTTCTTACTTAAGGTACTTATTGAAGAGATGGGAGACTGAGGATTAATAAGAATCAGAAAATTCTGTGGTAGTCAATTTGGGAAAAGACTTTGGGAAAGGGTAAATATGGTACTGGACCACCAACGTTTTCTCCAAAAATAAATTCATGTCCATTAAAAATTAAGCATATCGAATCTTCTGGGCTAAAATATTTACATAGGCCCCTCCTCTACCTAGTTGACTGGCACAAATGAATCCTAGAAGTATGTGGCCCAAAGAATATTTCCAAGAAGGAGCTGTAAAAAGAATTCTGGGCTTAAAGGTAAGAGGTTTAGGTTCAAGTTTGGGCTCTATCATTTGTTAGCTATGTGATGTAAGAAAGTCACTTAATTGCTCTGAATCTTTAGTTATTAAATGAGTTAAGAATATCTCTCTCATTAGGAATGCTTTAAGGATAAAATGAGGTAATGTTTGTGAAACTGATTTATAAGCTATCAAGGGCTAGAAAATATATTTGCACAAAGGTAAGATAATAATTGGATAAATAACTTGGTCTGGTCTTGGGCATTCATCCATCCAACTAAATGCCCACCATGTGCCAAGCCCATGGGGAGGGTAAGACAGCATCTGCCTTGCGAGTTCCCACTCTAGCTGGGGAGACAGACACAAGTATCATGTGTTATGTGTAATGTTTTTGTTGGAAACTGTGTACAGAGGTGATGACAGTTAAAATTTTTAATTTCAAAAGAATTTCATGTGTTACTATGTAAACTGAAATCTTGTTTAAAAATTTGTTTTTATTCTTTTTTAAGCTATTTTATTTATTTGAGAGAGAATGAGAATGGAGTGGGGAGCAGGAGAGGGGGAAGAAGAGACTCTTAAGCCAACTCTGTGCTGAGTGTGGAACTGATGTGGGGCTCGATCCCATGACCCTGAGATCACCCTGAGCCGAAACGGAGTGGATGCTCCACTGATTGTGCCACCCAGAAGCCTCTTGTTTAAGAATTTAAAGTCATTCCTAGAGTAGTTAAATTTATAGAGGAACAAAGTAGAATGGAGGTTGCCAGGGATGGTGGGCAGGTTAGGAATGGGGAGTTAGTGTTTAATGGGAACAGTTTCAGCTTGGGAAGATGACAAAGTTCTAGAGATGGATGGTGGTGATAGCTGCATACCATCTTCACACCTGAATGTAGTTAACGCCATAGAACTGTACACTTAAGAATGGTTAAAATGGTGTATTTCATATTATATATACTTAACCACAATTAAAAAAAAATTTAAAGTCAATCATAGCCAATTTTTATATTAGTACTCACGAAGGAGCAATATCCAGATGGTTGATGCTAAATCCAGAAGAGCAAAAGCCTCCCAGTGTTGTCGATATGGTTAAGAATGCAACAGCCAATGAATAATCACAACCTATAAATCCAGCGGCTACAAGGAATACTGCAGGTCCAATCATTCCTGGAGTTAAAAAGTTATAAACAGAAAAAGAAGCCCCGGTATTACTATTTATTACTATTTGCTTGTGTTACCTTAATATAGTATAAATCTGAGATTTGACACTACTGCCACCTACTGTAGAAATGATGTACTGCATAGAAGACTGAACAGTTTTCATGACAAAACGAAAACTGCTGAAAAACACATAGACATAATGCAACTAATGTGAAAGTAATGTAAAAGAAAATATCACAATGCAACATTATTAAATCTTCCTTGCCAAGACTCAGCTATAGTTCTACAAAGAGCAAGAAGAGAATGAAAAATATAGTTCTAGAGAGAAGCTATACTTGGTACAGAATGAGATTTAAAGTTCATATAACCAAAGAAGATAAACTAGATAAATTCTGTTGAATAAAGTTATAAGAACACTCCATCTAGGTTTTAGCATTGATAGCAATATACATATTTTATTATAGGCAGTTAAGCACAATATATGAGTAACAGGAAGGGACTTAATGAATGGGTTGCCACTTTTTCTCTGTTCTATAGCAACACCTATTCAATAACTCTCTGTGATGATGAAAATGTTGTATTTGTATGCACTGCAGTCAAGGAATTTATTTTAAAGTTTCAACTAAATGTAAATAGCCATATATGGATAGTGGCTACCATATTGGACAGAGCAGGTGAACAGAAGCCAAAAAAGAGATAATTGGATTGAATCTAATGGGATCTATTTCATTTGCAGGTGAGGAAAAATTCTTGGGAATTGAAATAAGTAAGCAATAGAACAGGACAGCACCTTCCAGCAGTAGCTGCTCAGAAGGGGTTTGCAGAATTATCCTGAATAGCGTCCTTTCATAAGGTAATTTCTGAGACTTCCAGGGTCTCCACTTACCGAAGATCTTAAAAAAAATAAATAAAGCAATTGTCATAGAAAGTTTTAAAATCTATCTTTATGAAATCAGTCTGAAACATATGATTATTGAATGTCCCTTTGAGTTATTTGATTCATAGCTCCTCATTTAATGTAATGATGTCAGTAAATGTTTTTGGATTGAAGTTGAAAATGTGTTCATTTAGAAAAGGGATGGAGGCTTAAATAATTATTTTCACTGCAAACGTAGAGCTAAAAACACTGTGGTTTATAAAATTCTGGAAATGATATTCAGCAAAGCAAGCCATTTTTTATAGTTATAAGACTATGGTGGAGGTAATAGGATATTATCAATATTAATCCTCAAAATGCATGGTTCAGAAAGAACTAACCATCTTGTACAGAAATGCACTACATGCATTAAAACATAGTGTTTTAATATGTGGACAAAATAAATGACTAATACCATTTTTATTTTGCCTTGCACTATAAACACAGTAAATAATGGTAAACTGAAATAAACCTTGATTCAACTCACTTACCTATCAGGCTAAAAACTCTTCGGACACATATTGTTGAAAAATTCCATTTTGCCCTTAAATTGTCAGCAGCTTGACCAGACAGGATCATACATAACCAACAGCCAAAATAAGGCAGTGCAGAGAGTAGCCCATTCTGGAAGGAATAAGAAGATTTAGAATTAATTACGTGGCAGTGGTGGGGTGGTGGAGGGGAGGAAGAACCAAAACAACACACACATACACACACCCACCAGCACTCAAAAAGGATATTCATGGGGGCACCTGGGTGGCTCAGTGGGTTAAAGCCTCTGCCTTCGGCTCGGGTCATGATCTCAGGGTCCTGAGATCGAGCCCCGCGTCGGGCTCTCTGCTCAGCGGGGAGCCTGCTTTCCCCTCTCTCTCTCTCTGCCTGCCTCTCTGCCTACTTGTGATCTTTTTCTCTCTGTGTGTCAACTAAATAAATAAAATCTTAAAAAAAAAAAAAAGGAGATTCATAGCAATATCCTGTTGCTATTTAAACAGTCCAGTCTGCTCAAGGTAATCTTGCATGTTATTTTGGGACCTGGGGTACAGCTTCAGTAAGAGAGGACAAATCTATTCGCTATAGATTCTCCCTATTGACTAGTTTTTGGTCATTTTTCACTTATTTGTTTATATTTACATATAATTTCACTAATTTGTTTATATTTACATCTAAGTATATTGGAATATACTTTATTTATATATAAGTATATTATAATACTTACATATTATATATTACATATGTATTATATCTTTATATTTAAAATTATTATATGTAATTACTCATTTATGTTTAAAATTTATATTTCTATTTTAAGTGATATAATTTATATAAATTATATAATCATACATATATATGTATATATAATTATATGTATATAATATGTATATATTTATACAAATTTTTTTTAAGATTTTTTAAAAGATTTTATTTATTTATTTGAAAGACAGAGATTACAAGTAGACAGAGAGGCAGGCAGAGAGAGGAAGGGAAGCAGGCTCCCTGCTGAGCAGAGAGCCCAATGCGGGGCTCGATCCCAGCACCCTGGGATCATGACCTGAGCCTATGAAGCCACTGAGCCACCCAGGCACCCCTATACAAATATTTTTATTACAAAGTAACATGCAGATACAGAAAACTATATAACTTCAATGTATTGCTTAATGAGTTATTCTAGAATGCACACCATCTAAGTCAAGTGTCCAGTGCACTACCACATGCTTTGGGCAGAGGACACAGGTAGTGAGGTGACAGACCTCTATTTTCCCCTCTTCTTTTCCTTTAAGTTCCCACCTAAAAAAAATAAAAGTACCAGGACATATGAAACAATTTAACATGGAAATGTGCTATTTGCTTTGTAGGAAACGATCTGATAGTCAGCTTTTTAGGAAATCACAAATTCTGTAAAATGAATCAAATCATTGTAAAATGAAAAACACATACTTGGAAAAAAAGAAGACATTTCCTTCTTCTATTCATTTTTTTCCCAGCATAAACCTGGGGTGCCAATAATAAATGGTCTAATTTTGATAAGAACAAATGTTTTTATAGTCTGAGAAAGATGGATACACCTTTTAGTATTTTATAACTAAGGTCATGTTTTACAAAAAAGGTAGAAAGATATTTTATTGGTGGTATTTAAATCTGGTAATAATTCCATTTAAGCATCATGAATGGTACAAACCAAAAAAATCTGTTGATATTTTAAATTTAAGAATTTAAGTGTGCTTGGAGCGCCTGGGTGGCTCAGTGAGTTAAGCCTCTGCCTCTGGCTCAGGTCATGGTCCCAGGGTCCTGGGATTGAGCCCCGCATCATGCTCTCTGCTCCACAGGGAGCCTGCTTCCTCCCCTCTCTTTCTGCCTGCCTCTCTGCCTACTTGTGATCTCTCTTTCTGTCAAATAAATAAATAAAATCTTAAAAAAAAAAAAAGAATTTAAGTGTGCTTAGGATTCAGTTTTTTTCATCAGTTTGTGGTCCTCTATATTTAGGTGCTGTGTATGCTTCCAGTTCTACTTCTATAGCTAAGATTTTTGTTTCTTTCTTGTACTGAGTTGAGTAATTTCCTCTTAGAAATTTTTTAAAAAAGATTTTATTTATGTGACACAGAGAGAGAGAGAGAGAAATAGCGAGAGGTGGAACACAAGCACAGGCAGAGGGAGAGGGAGAAGCAGACTTCCCCAGGGCAGGGAGCCGGATGCGGGGGCTCAATCCCAGGACCCTATGATCATAACCTAAGCCAAAGGCAGACGCTTAATGACTGAGCCACCCAGGCGCCCTTCCTTTTTAAATTTTATTCTATTTAGATTTCTGCAGAGTAGGATCACATCTATCATTATTTGTGGCAGAATCCTACACATGAATAAACTGAAGCAAATAGAGAAGTGAATTTTCTGATCTTGGTCTTGTTCTCTTGTGGGATAAGACTGATAATTCATCAGAGTTACTGAAATTTTCCACTTAAGGTTCAAATGTTAAAAACTCTGCTAACAACCTACAACTACCTTCTGCAAACTAGTATAAATCTTCAAAATTGGGTGCCTGGATGGCTCAGTCGGTTAAGAGTCTGTCTTTAGCTCAGGTCATGATCCCAGGGCCCTGGGATTGAGTCCCCACATCAGGCTCCCTCTTCAGTGAGGAGTCAGCTTCTCCTTCCACCCCTCCCTGCCCCCACTCTTGTTTGCTCTCTCTCACAAAAATAAATAAACTCTTAAAAAAAAATCTTAAAAATAAATAGGGACATTAGAATTAGGAAAAATTAGGAAAAAAGAAAAGTGAGGATAACTAATGAAGCTAAACTTCTATGAAAAAGAAAATTTATAACAAAGGATCAAGAGCTTTAAAAATTTTAAATTAATGAGATTATAATTTTAAATATAACGCTTTTCCAAGCAGGCTTTATTTTGAACAAAGGTTAAAAAGGAATTCATTTTATTTTATTTTAATTTTTAAAAAAGATTTTATTTATTTATTTGACAGAGAGAGAAATCACAAATAGGCAGAGAGGCAGGCAGAGTGGGGGCGGGGAGCTGGCTCCCCGCTGATCAGAGAGCCCAATTCGGGGCTCGATCCCAGGACCCTGAGATCATGACCTGAGCAGAAGGCAGAGGCTTAACCCACTGAGCCACCCAGGCACCCCAAAAAGGAATTCATTTTAAAAAGGGGCTTTTATTCAACTAGAGAATTATTTTAAACTTTTTTTTTTTTAAGATTTTATTTATTTGACAAAGAGAGATCACAAGTAGGCATAGAGGCAGGCAGAGAGAGAGGAGTACGCAGGCTCCCCGTGGAGCAGAGATCCCCATGTGGGGCTCGATCCCAGGACCCTGAGATCATGACCTGAGCTGAAGGCAGAGGCTTTAACCCACTGAGCCACCCAGGCATCCCAAGAATTATTTTAAACTTCATTCACATTTCTTTGAATTTTGAAAGAAAATATCTTTTTGTATAAAAATGGAAGATAAATGATTTTGGTTTACAAATATTTTCTCCTATTTAGTGGATTTTCATTCTTGTGTATGTGTGTGTGTATTTTCATTCTTGATAGTGTCCTCTGAGGCACAAAAGTTTTTAATTTTGATAAAATCTAATTTATATATTTTTTCTTTGGTCACGTATGCTTTTGGTTTTATATATAAGAAACTGTTGTGAAGGTCACAAAGAAGTATACATTCTAAGAGTTTTATCGTTTTAGCTGTCACATTTAGGTCTTTGATCCGTCTTTTAATTTGAAGGCAAAACACCACCAACTTTCCTTACAAACTGCTTCTTTCTCTTTAGGTTTTTCCTCAATCTCTTAAAAGACAAAACCCATCAGCCCAGAGATTATGATAGAAACTGCAATTCTTTTTTTTTTTTTTTTTTTTTTTTT